GAGCGACTGAACTGAACTGACACTCTGCCCATTAAACTCTTCATCCCCCTCCCCTGGCCCGAAGAAGCCACCACGCTGCTGTCTCTGGGAGTCTGACTACTCTACTACTTCACAGAAGTAGAATTCTTTTGCACTTGACCTTTTGTGACCCGCTTATTTCATTTTGCATGATGTCCTTAGGGTTCATTCATGCTGCAACTGGTGCTGGAATTTCCTTTCTTTGAAGACTGAATAATATTCCATTGTATGGATGGATCACATTTTGCTCAGGCCTTCACCCACCTGTGGACACCTGGGTTGCTCCCACCCCTTGGCCATTGTGAATAGTGCTGCTCCCTGCTTTTCATTATTCAGTGTATATACTCAGAAATGGAATTGCAGGATATGATAATTTTATCTTTAACTTTTTGAGGAAATACCATACTATTTTTCATAGTGTCCGCACCATTTTACATTCTCATCTGTAACACACAACAGCCCCAATTTCTCCACATTCTAGCCAACACCTGTTAGTTTATACTAGCCCTCCTAATGGGTATGGAGAGGTATCTCATTGTGGCTTTGATGTGCGTTTTCCGTGGTGATTAGTGATGTTGAGTATCTTCTCATGACTGTTTGTATATTATCTTCAGAGAAATGTCTATTCCTGTCCTTTTTCCTTTTTTTAATCAAGATGTCTGAGTTGTAGGAGTTCTTTATGTGTTCTGGATATTAACTCCTTATCAAATATATAAGTTGCAAATATTTACTCCATTTTGTGGGTTGCCTTTCACTGTGCTAATAGCATTTTTTTCACAAAAGTTTTACATTTTTATAGAGTTCAATTTACCTAATTTTTCTTTTATTGACTGCATTTCTGGCATCATATGCAAGAATCCAATGTCATGAAGCTTTCTCCTTTTTAACTCTGTTATTGTATATAATACATTAGGATAATGAATACTTCAAAGTATCACTTTATAGATACTTTATATTATTTTTAAAGTCTTAAATTTTAAGATACTAAGAATTTAAATATACTAGGTAAAGAACAGGAAAGGTTTAATACACATCTTGTGGTTGGTACCCAAATGGCCAATGATTGGTAGTGTGCTACACGGAACTGTATTGTTCTAAATATACCAATTGTATTAAAGGAAAAAAGAATCCTGACACTTGTTGGAGAATAAGGCAGCCTTAATGCAGGGGGACCACTGAGACAGGTATAGGGACTGCGGAAATGGAATTTTGTGAGAGCAGAAAGACTGGGTTCAACTCTAAATACAAGGAAAAGTGGGAATTTATAGCCAAGGAGCATGGTAAGGAGAGTGGGGTTGGTGGATGGAAAATTTTTAAGAGGAAACATCATGTATAAGGGGAGATTCTGGCTAAATTAACCTAGCAGGATTCTTGCTGAAAGCAGACCACCACGATCAGACATCCCCTGGGGGATGGTGGAGGATGAGGAGCCCCATCAGATACAAAGGGCAAGGGCTTCCCGCTAAGTGGACTCAGCAGAATTTGTGCCGAAACTGGAAAACGCAGGGGTGAGCCTGGGAGCCTGAAGGTCACAGCCCAGTTGATAAGAGAATTCAGAGAAGCCTGGCAAGAATTTGGTCAAGGAGACCACCTGTTCCTTCCTCAGGGACTAAGCTTTTGTGCCCCTATTAGCCAATGTTTGGATCAAGCATCTGAGAAAACAGCCCTAGGTACAAAGAGCAGTGAAATTGAAATGGACGACGAAGCAGGTCATTTAATCACAACAGCAAGACACACATACAGAGCTTTTAAAGTACAGGTAGTAATACAGGTCTGCAATAGAACTTTATTTTCAATTCTGAAATGCAAAACGTTCTAAGACAGGAGTTTTCCCCTAAGTGAAAGTGAAGTGAAAGTCACTTAGACATGTCCGACTCCTTCCGACCCCATGAACTATACAGTCCATGGAATTCTCCAGGCCAGAATACTGGAGTGGGTTGCCTTTCCCTTCTCCAGGAGATCTTCCCAACCCAGGGATCGAACCCAGGTCTCCTGCATTGCAGGCGGATTCTTTACCAGCTGAGCCACCAGGGAAGCACCCTAAGTTTGGAGCAAACTCATTTGCTCTATCGTGCTCTGAGACTGAGGCTATCTGTAGCCTTTATATATCCCACTTCTGGGTAATATTTGTCACTATTCACACATTATTGCTACAGAAATAGTCTTTGATTATATGTCGTTCCAGACCCCACTGAAGGTTTCTTGTAGTATATATACTGCCCTTTCAAACAGAATCCAAAAATTCTGAATTCCAAAACCACATCTGGCCCCAAGGTCCCCCACACTCATATTTTCTGAGCTCTAACACATTTATTGTTCTCTTAGTTTACTGTGTACAATGCAATGATTTTGCATACTGCAAAATGATTACTAGCATAAGGTATGTTAACACATCCAGTACCTCACATAGTTACATTTTGTGTGTGTGTGGTGTGAAATGTTTTAAAACCTACTCTTAAGCATCTTTCAAATATATAATACAGCACTATTAACTATATAATCACCATGCTGTATATTACCACCCCAGAACTTAATTACCTTGTCACTGGAGGGTCCCAACGGTTTTTGATACAGGATTAACTAGTAGTCCTAGAAATATTACCAGTAGTATTATTTAGTTTGTATCAGTCACTGTTCTAAGTGCTTTATGTAAGTACCTCATTTAATCCTCCCAACACCATGTGAAAGCGAAAGTGTTAGTGGCTCAGTCGTGCCCAGCTCTTTTCGATTTCATGGACTGCAGCCCACCAGGCTTCTCTGTCCATGGGATTTTCCAGGCAAGGATACTGGGGTGGTTTGCCACTTCCTTCTTCAGGGGATCTTCCCAACCCAGGGATCAAACCTGGGTCTCCTGAACTGCAGGCAGATCCTTTACCGACTCAGCTACCAGAGAAGCCCATCCTCTTTTATAAATGAGAAAATTGAGGTAATTAGCTATTTAATTTGCTGAATATCATGTAGCAAGTAGCCCAGATGAGTAGGGCTTCATGCATTTCTCCACAATGGATAAGGATAGGTCTTTGTAACAAAACAGCTTCCAACTGCAGAATAGTACACTTACTGTGACTCAAATATCAGAGATGAGGCAAGAAGCCTGAAGATTGGTGGGCTGCGGGTTTTGGTTGGTTCAGAAGCTGCTTTTGAACTATTAAGAAAGCTGAGCGCTGAACAATTGATGCTTTTGAACTGTGGTGTTGTAGAAGACTCTTGAGAGTCCCTCAGACTGCAAGGAGATCCAACCAGTCCATCCTAAAGGAAATCAGTCCTGAATATTCATTGGAAGGACTGATGTTGAAGCTGAAACACCAATACTTTGGCCCCCTGATGTGAAGAACTGACTCATTGGAAAAGACCCTGATGCTGGGAAAGACTGAAGGCAGGAGAAGGGGACAAGAGAGGACGAGATGTTTGGATGACATCACCAACTCAATGGAAAAGAGTTTGAGTAAATTCTGGGAGTTGGTGATGGACAGGGAGCCCTGGCTTGCTGCGGTTCATGGGGTCGCAAAGAGTCGGACACGACTGAGTGACTGAACTGAACTGATGGGACCAGATGCCATGATCTTAGTTTTCTAAATGTTGAGTTTTAAGCCAGCTTTTTCACTCTCCTCTTTCACCTTCATCAGTTCAGTTCAGTTCACTCTTGAAGCCTGGCTTGGAGAATTTTGAGCATTACTTTGCTAGCGTTTGAGATGAGTACAATTGTGTGGTAGTTTGAGCATTCTTTGGCATTGCCTTTCTTTGGGATTGGAATGAAAACTGACCTTTTCCAGTCCTGTGGCCACTGCAGAGTTCTGCAAATTTGCTGACATAATGAGTGTAGCACTTTCACATCATCTTTTAGGATCTGAAATGGCTCAACTGGAATTCCATCACCTCCACTAGCTTTGTTCATAGTGATGCTTCCTAAGGCCCACTTGACTTCACATTCCAGGATGTCTGGCTCTAGGTGAGTGACCACACCATTGTGATTATCTGGGTTGTGATCTTTTTTGTCTAGTTCTTCTGTGTGTTCTTGCCATCTCTTCTTAATATCTTCTACTTCTGTTAGGTCCATACCATGTCTGTCCTTTATTGTGCCCATCTTTGCATGAAATATTCCCTTGGTATCTCTAATTTTCTTGAAGAGATCTCTAGTCTTTCCCATTCTATGTTGTCCTCTATTTCTTTGCACTGATCACTGAGGAAGGCTTTCTTATCTCTCCTTGCTATTCTTTGGAACTCTGAACTCAAACGGGTACATCTTTCCTTTTCTCCTTTGCCTTTTGCTTCTCTTCTTTTCACAGCTATTTGTAAGGCCTCCTCAGACAACCATTTTGCCTTTTTGCATTTCTTTTTCTTGGGGGTGGTCTTGATCCCTGCCTCCTGTACAATGTCACAAACCTCTGTCCATAGTTCTTCAGGCACTGTCTATCAGATCTAATTCCTTGAATCTATTTCTCACTTCCACTGTATAATCATAAGGGATTTGATTTAGGTCATACCTGAATGGTCTAGTGGTTTTCCCTAATTTCTTCACTTTAAGCCTGAATTTGGCAATAAAGAGTTCATGATCTGTGCCACATTCACCTCTCGGTCCTTACAAGGTGATTAAGGTCTGGGTTTTTAATATACGGCATGGTGATTATAGTTAACATTGCTGTATTGTGTATTTGAAAGATGCTTAAAAGTAGGTACTAAACCGTTTACACCACACACACACACACACATAAAATGTAACTATGTGAAGTGTTGGATATGTTAACTGTACCTCATTCTAGTGATCATTTTGCAGTATATACATATATCAGATAATTGCATTGTACACAGAAAAATAACAGAACAGTAAAAGTCAGAGCTCAGTACATACGACTGTGGGGGACCTTGGGGTACATCCCTCTTTAAACAGTAAGGAACATTTGCCCCAGAGACAGCTGTGCCCCAACAGACCCATCAGCCCATCACTGTCAAAGGATTAGCTTATACCAACTTTAATTAAGCAGAAAGGATCTCGGGCTCGGCACTTTGGTGCAGAACGGAGCCGGGGCTCCGCGGTGGGGTGCACGATCCAGCCTGGACTGATTGGTGGACTCTTGAGGCTCGGCCCCCTGGGAAGAGGGCGGCGAAGCTCGGCACATGGCTGGGCCGGGGAGCGACGCCAGGGTTCCGGGAGTGGGACGGCACACGACGCGAATCCCACACCGCAGGACGGCCGCGGGCAGCACGACCTCGCTTGCCCCTTCCGAACGGCCCGAGGGCCCGGGCAGCTCAGAGCTGCGGCTTTAGAGATCCGGGGGTGTTCCCAGCGCCTCTGGACGAGAAGACACCGTGTCGCGGGCAATACCAGGCTGAAGGACAGCACGCGCCGGGGCGCGGCTCCCGCCCGGAAGCGAGGCGGACTCCTAAGGACTACAACTCCCAGAGACGCCAGCGCTCCTCCCCTCTGATAGGCCCGCTGCGCCACCTATCAGCCAGCCAGCGACGGCAGACGGGCTCAGCGACCAATCACAAGAGGGGAGGCGGGCGCTCCTCCAGCCGAGCGCAGGTCCCAAGTCGAATCGTGGGGAAACACTTAACAGGAGAGTCTCTGGAGCCCCAAGGCCGACACAGTGACCGGAGAAGTGGCAGAATCAACGACCTAAGGGAGTGACAGTGACTAGAGAAGTGACAGAACTAACGACCTCGGGGGGAAAGATCCCCTCATGTCTTCAGGGTTCTGGCCTCCTCTACTCCAGCCTGTGGTCGCGCCAGCCAGAGCTCACGGATTCCCGGCGGCGCCCCGCCTCCGGTCCCTTATTGGCTCCCTTGGGGCACGTGAGGTAAGAGGGCGTGGCCTCGGCGGCGCGGGCTAGGGCGGGAGGGCGGCACCTGGCCGCAAGAGGGGGCTGAGAGGCCCGGCCGCCTGGGGCCTGGGGCCGCATGGACACCCTGGCGCTGGGCCGATGGCGACGGCGGAGGCCCGAGGATCTGCAGGTCCCGGGGGACGCGGTGAGTCCCCCGGAGCCCGGGCCTTGCGAAGGGGAAGGCGGCAGCGCTGGGCGCACGCCCACCGGGTCTGGCGACTCCTGGAGCCTGAAGTGGGAGGAGGCCGGGCCCGTGCGGGCGGTGCGCGCCCGCTGGGGCTGAGCGTAGTGGGCGGGGCCTGGGTTGAGCAGACTGCGCCTGCGCACAGATGCGGGCCTCGGCGGGCAAAGCACTCCCGCTTGGGCGGAGCACAGTGGACGGGGCCTCGGTGAGGCGGACCGCCCCTCAGGCCGCGCCTGCGCAGAGATGCGAGCCCGGGTGGGCGGTGTGCGCCCGCTTGGGCGGAGCACAGTGGGCGGGGCCTGGATGGGGCGGCCGCCCCCTCAGGCTGCGCCTGCGCAGAGATGCGGGGTCCTGGATACTAGGTTTGGTCCCATGTGCTTAGGGCTGTTGCGGAGGCCTCGGAGGTTCTGTGTTGCAAAGTCAAGGGCTGTCCCACCTTCTGCGCGCAGCTGTTCCTGAGTCAGACCGCCACGTGCAGGCACTGGACTGGATGTGGTATGGGTGCCAGGCCAGCAGGCACTCCAGTCGTTTGCTGCGAGAGCGCAGGGTAAGAGGTGATGGGTAATGGGAGGGCCTCTAATCAAGCTCGGGGTGGGTGCGTCGTCGAGCCTATGCGAGGCTTGAAGGGAAAATTAGTGTGGGCAGGAAGTGCGTAGGTTTTCAGGGAACCGACAGAAGCCCTGTGCGATTGGGAACAGGAGGGCAGAGCCTCTGAGCTGCGCTCTTGTCCAACACCTCTGCCTGCAAATCTCTGGTTTTCACTTCATATTGTTTACTTCATGGTTCCTTCTAAGAGCAGCAGCCATCTGCCGCTGTACCGAGCAACAGAATTATTTATATGCTTCTTCTACACCTCCCGGCTCTGTAAGCTTGGCGTGTTCCTTCCCAGTTAGTGCAGGCAACCTTTTTCTCCAGTGTTTTGCACAGCCTATGAGGAGTGAGGAGCTTTCTCCCCTGAAGCCTCTTTCCTCGCCACCCACTGCCTCACCATGAGCTAGTGTCACTTATGTTCTTCATGCAGCGCCCATCTCCCTGGTACCACTTCACAGGGCATAGGCTTAGCTTCTGTAACAGGGAGACTTCAGACCACCCTGGCTCAAACCTGAGGGAAGTTTGGTTCTGTGCATAGTAGTACAAAGGTGAGCCCAGGGTAGTGGAACAGCTCAGTTCAGTCGCTCAGTCATGTCCAACTCTTTGCGACCCCATGAACTGCAGCACGCCAGGCCTCCCTGTCCATCACCAACTCCTGGAGTTTACTCAAACTCATATCCATCGAGTTGGTGATGCCATCCAACCATCTCATCCTCTCATCCCCTTCTCCTCGCGCCTTCTAGTTGTACCGCAGCTAGTGGTACCCAGATCAGAGACATCCACGCACCCAGTCTCGTTCTGTCCGTGGCTTCAGCACCCCCTTGTCCTCCAGACACGTGTGTGTGTTCAACCCCTTAGCTGTGTCTGCTTCTTTGCAAACCTGTGCATTGTGGCCCGCCAGGCTCCTCTGTCCATGGGATTTCCCAGGCAAGAATACTGGAGTAGGTTGCCTGCTTCAGAGGATCTTCCTGACCCAGGATTGAACCCACGTCTCCCGTGTCTCCTGCATTGGCTGGTGGATTCTTTACCACTGAGCCACCTGGGAAGCCCCATCCTCTAGACAGTGGGAAGTAAACAGGAAAGTGACACGATCATCCTGACATTTAAAGGGCTACCCTTTTCCACAGAGCAGCTTTGTGGGAAATGAAAGGGATGGTGGTCAGGGGAGGCACAATATATAGATGTGAGAGGTGATGGAGGCTCAGACTGAGGAGAGTGGAACGGTGACAGTACACAGACTGTGTGTTTTGGAGGAAGAACTGACTGATCTTGCTGGTGGAGCGGGTCTGGAAGGGAATGTAGAGGGAGGAGTCCAGATGACCCCAGGCTTGTGACTGGAGCAGCTGGGTGTGCAGTGGTGATGTCGCTGCCGAGAGGACGTCTTGGAGACATTTCGCTGAGGTGTGGCAGGTTCTGCCAGTCCTCAAGTGGGCACCATGTGGATTACCAATTTCACACCAACCTGCTATGATGCCCATATTACCAATGAGGAAACCGAAGTACAGAGAGATTAACCAACTCGCAAGTGGTGGCAGTAGGTCCTAAGCCCTTCCAGCGCCCTCCAGAACTTGCGCTTTTAACCACTGGGCTCTACAGCTTCCTAAGGGAGCTTGTGCAGCTAAAACATGAGACTTCAAAACAAAGTCCTTAGTTGGCCATAAACTGATCAAAGGTGTGATGCGCTGCACTGTCAGGGATGGGGAGCCATAGGCCACTGTTGATCAGAGAGAACAGGAAAGACTTAATAGAAGAAACCTTGAGTGTCTTTCAGATTGGAGTTGGTGGGATGAAGTGCCCAGGTTGAGGCTCCAGCACTTCCAAACTGTTACCAGACAAGGGTGAGGGTGTGTAGTGCTGGGGGGTGTCCTGTCTCCTGATCTGATAAAGTTCTTGTTTATGTCATATTGTGTCGTAGTTTTTGACCTGATAATCTGGATTGAGCTTCATAAAGGAGCCAAGTTCTTCCTGCCATTTTCCACTCTCTCATTCTCTGTCTCACACACACCCATTCAGAATTCGGTTACTTGGGAAGCGGGAGTCCCTTCGTACCTCGGTGACAGCCCAGTGGCTCCGCACCCTGTGTGTTAAAACCAGCAGAAGAGATTAGGAGCTGGGGCCGCCAGGACCATCTCTGGAATGAGGATTCTCGTGAGTCAGGGTCAGGAGTCTCTCCTCTCCTCTTGTAAGTGTCCTGATCATGGCCAGGTTAGGAGTGTGGTAGCAGTTAAAGAGCTAACATGTAGCAGTTGACTAGCAGTAGTGCTTATCGTTTCTGTTGCATAGACTTTTTAAAGATTATTTCTTCTGAGCACCTATTGTGTACCAGCACTGTTCTAGGCTCTGGACGAAGAGAAGTGAGGCCTTGCTTACGTTGACCCCGTAACTGGGCATCCAGTGCCTGGCTTCGTGCAGTCCCCAACCACCGCACTCACCACACCTTTCAGAATGGAAGTGTCAACCCAGAACGCCCGAAAATTCATGTCTCCGCCTCAGCCTTTCATCTCCCTGAAGACTCTTTTTCCAAAAAAGCTCTGTAAAGAGCAGGCCCTCTGGCCAGAGTGCAGAGACAAGATTTCAGTAACAAGAACAAAAGCTTACTGCTCGCCCACAGAGTCACCATTCCCAGTGCACTTCAGTCCTTTGTATTTTCTTATTTCCATCTGGTTTTATTTTTTGGTTTTCGTCCTGAAGGAATACCTTTAACACACATTCTCCTGCCTGCAATGCAGGAGACATGAGTTTGATCCCTGTGCTGGGAAGTTTCCCTGGAGAAGAGAATGGTAACCTACTCCAGTATTCTTGCCTGGAGAATTTCCTGGATGTAGGAGCCTGGCAGGCTACAGTTAATGGGATTGCAGAGCCGGACACAAGTGAGTGACTAACATGTTCAGGGTTTGTGTGGGTTGTGCACTGCAGCAGCAATGTCACTGCTGACTAAAGCCACTAACAGGTCAATATTTTCAACACGGAATTGAGCTCATCAGCCCTTGTGTGGTTTTGTTTAGCTGTGCTGTGTAGGTTCTTCTGCAAGTCTGGAAGTGGTTAGGTGCACATTCTGTAGGCAGACATGTTTTTCCTTACGGGTACACTGGTACACAGGTCACGCCTTCAGTCCCAGGGTGAGCACACTTGAGCTTTGTGGGAGGGCAGGTAATTGAGTTGCAATCTGGAATGTTTTTGATTCAGCTGTTAAAATTTAGGTGTGAGTAAATTGTAAAATTCCTACCATTTTCACCAGTCCTTGATGTTATGAATAGCTGCCCTTAAATTAGAGGGCTGATGATATTTTATATCCACTTTCTCTGGATAACTTATAGATCCACTTTTGCTAACACTTGAAAGGTTGTCCAGTAAAGCTAGGTGTGTTCTTATCAGCAAAACCATTCAGATGTATTGATGTCTCTAACTCCATCCAAGTAACCTTATGGGGTCTAACTTACAAAGTGAGAAATTCAGAGTTAAATTTGCTTGTTCTGCCCCATAGGACATAGGTTTTCTTGCTCATCTGCTGAGTGAGATCCCCACTGTGAAAAGCCTAGTGAATAGTAGCTGATGGTGTGGATCCCTGAGAAAACCATTTGGCTCTGTCTTTTGGTGACCACTCTTTTAATTCTAAATAATTGCAACCCACTCCTCAAGAAACTATTTATTTCTCTCACCTGTTGTTTTAGTTTAGAAATTATCCATTGAGCTACTTTGTATTGTCTGGTCTACTCAGTTTAATTGTACTCAGCTATCAAAGCAGGGTCATTACTTTGCCAACAAAGGTCCGTATGGTCAAAGCTATCGTTTTTCCAGTAGTCATGTATGGATATGAGAGTTGTACCGTAAAGAAGGCTGAGTGCCAAAGAATTGATGCTTTTAAACTGTGGTGCAGGAGAAGACTCTTGAGAATCTCTTGGACTGCATGGAGATCCAACCAGTCAATCTTAAAGGAAATCAATCCTGAATATTCATTGGAAGGAGTGATGCTGAAGCTGAAGCTCCAATACTTTGGCTACCTGATGAGAAGAGTAGACTCATTGGAAAAGACTCTGACGCTGGGAAAGATTGAAGGCAGGAGGAGAAGAGGACGACAGAGGATGAGATGGTTGGATGGCATCACCGACTCGATGAACATGAATTTGAGCAAGCTCCGGGAGATGGTGATGGACAGGGAGGCCTGGCGTGCTGCAGTCCAAAGGGTCACAAAGAGTCCAACATGACTGAGCAACTGAACAACAATCCTCCCATCTAGAAAAAAAGGAAATTTGTCAATCACTTCATCTTCAGTTGTAACTCTAATCAGATATTCATGCTGCCAGCTACAGCCTTGATCATTTAGTTTTCAGCAGATTTCTCTGTACATGGCACAGAAGAGTCAAAATGAGGGTAGGTCAGTTAAGAGGCAGTCTTCCATGGTGTGGGCCCTTTTAGGTGTCTGTTGAGCTCAGCAGTGACCCGTGGAGGACTGTGACCAGGCGCCCAGACCAAGCAAGGCACACCAGAGGTGTTCAGCACCCACTCTGTGATCGCTTACCGTGAAGAGTGTGTGTGTGTGTGTTTAACTGAAAAGAAATGGTGGAAGACTCACGCTGATGCATAAAATCGCTGGTATCTTTTAAGTATATATCATTTATCTAGGGAAAGTTATAGATCACCTGGTATAGTGCGCCCCTTCAGGTCAGTCCCCATGGCTGTGACTTCTCAGATTTCCCTTTCACACTTACCATCAAGACCATGTGGATTAAAGTTGTAAAATTTTAAGTGTACAGTGACGTAATTTTTCATGAATTTAGCTGTGCAGCCATCACCATAGTGAAGACTACTTTCTTCAGAAAGATCGCTTTTGCCCATTCGCACCCCCACGTCCAGTCAGTCGCCATCTCTGCTTTCTGTTTTTCTAGATTCGCCTTTTCTGGACATTTTGTGTAAACAGAAGTATATAATGTGTGACTTTACCTCTGACTTCTCTCA